GTGGATCTGTCAGTTTTTTCAACAAGATGATCATTGACAGACCGTTTTTCACATGTTGACAACCAGACAGCTGTTGTACAACATCCAGAGAAACGCATACCGATCATCCCAAAACACAGAAAATTCCTGCGTTTTTTCTCCTTTCAGGAGATGAAGTATCTGTTACACAGAGCAGGGATGAGAGTTTTTGTTTTACCTGGATGATCTGCTGCTCCTGTCACTCCAGACAGGAGGCGCTGATGCAGGCTCAGGTGTTGACATCACACCTATTAAATCTGGGCTTCACCATAAATTGGAAGAAAATATCAATTTTTCCCGGCCCAGACAATTGTTTATCTGGGAGTGGAATTAAATTCAACCACCATGAAGGCTTGTTTATCACAAACGAGGTTCGACACTTTTAAAAGTCAACTCCGCCATGTAGACCTGGCAAAGTGGTAACAGCTATTTCCGTCTTGAAGCTGTTAGGAATGATGTCATCAGCTCACACAGCGGTTCCGCTGGGTTTGTTACACATGAGATGCCTCCACAGGTGGTTTGCGCGTCTGCGTGTGGATCCAGTAAAACAAAAGAGACGGATGATCACTGCCCCCTCCCTCCGTGAGAGCAGACCTCCGACACTGGGGAAACACCCTGGTTCTGTCAGGGGGAGTTCCCATCAGCAGACCCGCGTCACACGTGTCAGTTTTCACGGACGCTTCGCTGTCAGGCTGGGGGGGGGGGATACCTATTTCAAGCAGTAGGGGCGCTGTGACCCCACCCCACATCAGCCCACATAAATGTCTTTGGAGTGTCGCACAATGCTGAATGTGATTCAACACTTTGCTCCTGTGCTACAGAATCAACATGTGTTGATTCACACAGACAACATGACTGCTGCGTACATAAACCGTCAGTGGGGGGTGCGTTCAGCCCAGATGTTACACATTGCGCAAGCTACTGTGCTGGGCTCACCAAAACCTGCTCTCCATCAGAGCCGTTTACATACCCGGTGTTCTGAACAGAGGGGCAGATGTGATGTCCAGGGGCGGCCCACGTCACGGGGACTGGACTCTCCATCCAGACCTGACGGTTCAGACGTGGCAGAAGTTTGGCAAAGCAGCTGTGAACCTGTTTGCGACACGAGAAAACGCTCAGTGTCAATTATGGTTTTCCCCTGAGCCCGCGAGACGATCTACCGCTGGGGGTGGATGCATTTGCTCACAGCCCATGGCCCAAAATGCTTCTGTACGTGTTTCCTCCACCTCCTCTGATTTTACGGTTCCTGAACCGAGTTCAGGAGGAGGGATTGACAGCTCTTCTGGTGGCTCCCGAGCGCGTGAACGCACCATGGTTCCCAGTCATGCAACGTCTGTTGACGGGTCGTCCGTGGAAACTGCCGTAGAGGGAGGTCACTCTCCTTCAAGCAGGAAGAGCGATCAGGAGTTACTCAGAAATAGGTCAGCACCTGTGGGTCTGGCCGCTGAGCGGTCCCGCTTAGAGAGGATGGGTCTCCCGCAGGAGGTAGTGCGCGCAATCCAAGATTCACGTGCTGCATTTACCACAGCTCTGTACACATCAAAGTGGACAGCTTTTCAGCGCTGGTGTACAGAGAAAGGTGTAGAGGCCACCTCATGCCCATTAGGCGGCGTGTTGTCTTTTCTACAACAGCTGATGGACAGGAAGTTGGCATTCAGCACGATTAAAACGTACGCTGTAGCCATCTCTTCCTGCCACGAAGGGTTCGGAGACAGAACGGCTTTTAATCACCCGCTGATGGAGCGGTTTCTAAAGGTGTACAGAGACGCAGGCCTGCTTCACGCCCACTTGCTCACAGTGGGATTTAACGCTGGTCCTGCGAGCCCTGATCAAGCTCCATTTGAGCCTCTGGATCAGTTTTCACTTAAATTCTTGTCTCTTAAAACAGCCCTGCTGCTGGCTTTAACATCCGCTAAGAGGGTGAGTGATTTATCTGCCTTCTCTGTCGCTCCGTCATGTCTCAGAATTCAGGCTGACGGTAGTTCAGCTGATTTAAGACCAACCCAGCTTTTATGCCTAAAATCATCACGAGCTCTTTTAAATCAAGAGCGATATCGTTGGAGGGGGTTTTCCCTCCTCCCCACAGATCAGAAGAAGCATCTTTTCATCTTCTCTGTCCGGTGCGGGCGTTGACGTGTTACATAGCGCGCACAGCTGTAATGTGTCAAACTCAACACCTGTTTGTGCATTATAGAGATGCAGGTCGCCCGTTATCCACCCAGCACTTGTCACACTGGCTGTGTGAGGCCATTCTGAAGCCTACAAAGCATCAGATTTAGAGCCTCCTGTCAACCTCAAAGCACACTCGACCAGGGGTACTGCATCTTCGACTGCTCTGCATAATGGTATGTCAAATCCAAAAAAGTTCAATCTGGTCCTCTGGACATTAAAAAAAACAAAACAAAAACAACAAAAAAATGTAGAAACGTTTCGTCTCTCATCCGAGAGACTTCCTCAGTCTGAGGTGCTGTATTCAGCTCAGTCTCTTAAATAGCACCTTCTCAGAGTGGATCAACCAGTTTTGCTGCTGACAACCAAAACCAGCTGCTCACATGCTCAAGAAGGACCATCAGCCTAACAATGGATCATTAGCACCTGATGGCTGTTTACTGTTCACAGAGGGCTGAGTGATACTAGCAATCACAACATTGTAAGAGGGGGACAGTTGAACCCGGAGGCTCCACCCCTGTTTAATGATGGACGGTTTCTTTTCACAAAGATGGCCTCCTTTACTCCTCTCTCAAACCATCGTTCCTCTCTGTCCAGGATGTGAACATCTTCATCCCTGAAAGAGGGACCGCTGGCCTGGAGATGAGTGTAGACCGCAGAGTCCTCGCCTGATGATGTTGATCTTCTGTGCTGGGCCATCCTTTTGGCCAGTGGCTGTTTTGTTTCCCCGATGTAAGACTGATCACCCTCCTGACACTGAACAGCATACACAATATTACTCTGTTTGTGCCGGGGGACTGGATCTTTGGGATGAACCAGTCTTTAATGTCAACAAAAAAGGACCTTTTTTGTTGTTATATACCTGGATGACTGAGAAAACAAACTTTCAGTCTTTAATGTATTTTGGGGTTTAAAAGCCACTGGGACGTTATGTTTAGAAAATAAACGTCTCAGTTTCTCTGATACTCCCTCAACATATGGAATGACCACTGGTCTGGGTCTGGGTTCCTCCTTTTCACCTGTTGGCTGACTGGAGTCCTGTTTGGGTTTCTTCTCTGCTTTCAGGAAGGCCCAGTTAGGATATCCACATTGCTCTAGAGCCTGTCTTGTGTAGGACTTTATAATGTAGCTGATTTTTTTGTTTCTTTTTTATTTATATATAATTTTCTTGTAATTTTCAAATCATATGTTTTTTTTTATTGTTTACTGTTGTACTGATAAATATCTCCTGGAGGGTAAACTATATCTTGGCTGCAAGTATCAAGCTGTGAAATCCTTCGTTTTCTACAACTGATAGCGATTGGTCATTAAATATGATGAAGTTTAGCAACTTCTCTGTAAACATTCGAGCTGCGGGGCTTCAGCGACGTCGTCGTCTTGTTCAATCCAAAGCGGGCAGCCTGTTTTCGGTCAGCCGTGCTCAGTCTGCCCCTCCAGAGATGGGCAGATTGGTGTGCGGCTGGCCGGGGTCGAGTTGCCCGTTTTGAGTTACCATACCATACCACTTGATTTATAAAGCAATTAAAACAGTGACAAGGCCAACCAAAGTGCTGTACAGACAGAACAACAGGTGACACACAAAGCAAAATACAAAATGAGGTAAATCAGAATATAGACAATTGAGCAAGAGCAGCGCCCCGCTGAAGCCACGGAGCTCGAATGTCCATCGTAAAACTTTACTGTGGTTTAATGTGGTGCTATGGCTCTGCAGACAGTGCACGATGCTGTTTTGTTTTGTGTTTCTAGTGTAAAATACTTCCACACATGTTTAGATGAAAAGTTAGTTAGCTGTTAGCCACAGTGCTGCTAACTCAGTCCTCACGTTGTAGCTGCTGCAAACTATGAACTGGATTTCCTGAATGTGAGGCAGGTCTTATTACTCTGGTTTCATGGGACACGCCGCCGTTCAGGAAATCCATTCCATAGTTTAAAGCCAACATGAATCATGGATCGGAAATATCTGATAAGCAAATTATGCTGGTATCGGAGGCTGGTACTGATGCCAGATCGGATTGGCCTTATCCCTAATTATTATTTTATGTTTATACATGTTTTAAGAAGCTAGTGAGACTTGATTAATGTTATTGTGAAGATTTGTGGGTTTCCTACCTAATTGCTCTTGATTGCACATAATCGCAAGCATTTCTATTTTTTTTACGTGCTCTACAAGATCATTAGTTGGTGTTGTGATTTTGTTCAGTTACCATTTCAAACATTTACTCTTGTGCTGTATCATCGAAGGATTTTTTTTTTTCTTTTCACTGCTACAGTTTATAAATCTGAAAGCGTATTATAAAGGTTTGGTTAGGCACATTGCACGAAGCCAAGTGTAAACAGACCTTTCTGTAAAATAATTCACTTCATTCAATGAATAAACAGAAAATCTTTACTTGATTAAAGGCTGTCCATTTCAGTGTTGTCAGCATGACGATTGCACAACCCCTCAAAGTTTGACATCTGTGGCATTGTGCTGCGTGATGACTGCACACTTAGTGGCCTTTTACTGTGGTCAGCCACTGGTGCAATAATCATGTTGTCTAATCAGCACTTTGATATGCCACACCTGTGGGACGGATGGATTATTTTAACAGTGCTCACTAACACAGATTTACACAAATTTATGAACAATATTTCAGAGAAAAAGGCATTTTGTGTACATAGAAAAGTTTAGATCTTTGAGTTCAGCTCATGAAAATATGGAAACACAAACAGGTGTTGCATTTCATATTTTTGTTCAGTGTAAATTCATACAGTATATGCTCACCATTACAGTTTTATAATGAATTCTTATTTTATTCTCATTTTATTTCTAGACATGCCTTGTTTTGACCCTCTGTGCAGCTTTTTGGGTGAGTAAAACTTTAAGGCAGCACCGATGAGTTCTAGCCTTACTGACCACTCGTGTAGTTTCATTAACTATCATTTGTCATAATATCTCCCCCCCCCCCCCCCCATTTCTTTCAGTGGAAAAACTTTGGACTCGCCTTACTGTTCTGCATTTTACAAGTCTTGTCTTTTACCTGGTGAGCTCCTGTTCTGCCTCTTTCAGTTAAAATTCTTCCTGACTTTAAGATGAAGTGTTTGTTTTGCAGGTACAGTCTGTCATACATCCCGTGTGTGAGGTTGGTCACGTCTGCTTGATTCATTCACATTATTTGTATAAATATTCAGAATCAAACTTTGAGTCAAAGCTTGTCTGATTTATGTGAATTATTTTCCAGGGAGGCGATCCTGAAGCTTGTGTCGATGTGCATCAAGTGACCCCTGAGTTTGGTCTGAATATTTAGGCTGAATGTTATCATCGAGGCTCAATGGGATTAACCTGTCTAAATAAAGGTTGATTGATTAGGTTCAAAGGACAAGTCTCTTTTTGAAGTTGCTGAAACAGCCTAGTGACTATTTTAATGAAGATTTTTTTTAAAGAATATCTGACTTTATTTTAAGCAAATGTCAATACTTGTTTTTTGTGTAATTATATGTAAATGTCTGTAATCAAATATATTAAAGCGGTCAGCTAATACTTGGTGACCTTATTTATCCATCCATTATCTTTTACCTGCTTCTTCCATTTTAGGTCACGGGGGTCGCTGATGCCCATGTCCAAGGGCGGGGTACACCATGGACGGGTCGCAAGTCCATCACAGGGACACAGAGACAAATGAGACAAACAACCATTCACTCTCTCACTCACACCTAGGGACAATTTAGAGTTACCAATCAGCCTAACATGCATGTTTTTGGTCTGTGGGAGGAAACTGGAATATCCGGAGGAAACCCACGCATGTACAGAGAGAACATTCAAACTCCACCCAGAAAGGCCCCTGGACCGGGGTTTGAACCAGGGACCTGCTCGCTGAGAGACAGCAGCTCTACCAGTTGCGCCACCGTGCTGCCCAGGCTTATTTATATTAGAGAAAATAGACTTTTTATGAAATAACTATCAAGGTTCAAGCTTTTACAATGTTTTAGGAATGTTGAGACGGGAGCTGGCTGCAGGCCACCGGACCCGGAAACCCCCTCCAGCCCACGTCTTTCCCCCCGGCTCGAACCTCTCTCAGAAGTGGCAACTCTCATTATCAATAAATCAAGGAAACGTCAATTAAGTTTTATCAATTATATTAAAAAAGGCAGGAAGAGGTTACAGTTTACAGCGCTGGACTCTCCCATCTGTGACGCGGTCGCAGAACCGGAAGAGCCCCGATGTCCCATGTCATTACTCATTTATAGGGTCCTGGACTCCTCCTTCGCAGAAGTGGAGCTCAACCTGTCATTGTATGAGGGGGCGTGGCTAAGTGTGATCTCAATGGATCTTATGTGGTTCTGACGTGTTAGGAAATATGAGACGGTGCTTCAAAAAGCCTTTCTATGTGATGTGGCAGATTAAACTCTATTCCTTGACTGATATTGAAATCCCAGGGAGACTCTCTTTAGAGTTGCTGGCCCAGTTTAACCCAGTCAGAACCGGCTCATAATTTCATTATAATCCCGTCTCTGAGCAGATCCAAACCATAGGACCAGTCCAAAAATATCTTAACAACTCCCCCTGGGCGAGGGACCCTAAAATGGGTTCCCTCACATAAAAACTCCCAGTTCAATACCACCAGATAAGCAAGTAATTAATCATTTTTCCTCTGGTTGAATGTGAACTACTCCTTATATGTTGGCGGGAGATGCCTACAGGCTACAGCGTGTGACCTGGCAGCCTCAGGTCGCCTGACCCAGCCCTGGACATCTGCCTAGGACTTCAGCATCCCCCTGGTGTGGTGCAATGACATAATGGAAATTTCTTACATTGGTCTAAGTCTGAGCTCTAAATATATGATTTAATAATTGCAGAAGGCGTCCTAATGCAAGAAAGAGTTTTTATCTAATAAATGTTAATCAGTTTTGTAAAACCTGAACTTCTCTTTTTGACTCCAAAGGCAGGCCTGGTCCATTGTGTCCATCTGGAAAATGAAAAATAAAAAAACTCTGTGCCCACTTTCCCTTCAGTCATGCAATACCCAATTTATTTGCAGAGCGCTGCCGGTATGTTTAGCCTGTCACAGCAGAAAATGTGTTTGTGTGAATAAAATCTGATTTAAACAACGTGTTTTAACGTGCATATTGTATGTAAATAACAGAACCTCCCAACTCCCCCTGGTGATCTAATATAAAAACATTCACAATTAACCAACAAATCAATTTACCCATTCCACCCTTCAATTTAATCCCAATTTAAATTGAAAAACATGAGTTTACCTCCTGGAAAATCTACAGGTCCTTCTCAAAAAATTAGCATATTGTGATAAAGGTCATTTTCCATAATGTAATGATAAAAATGAAACTTTCATATATTTCTGATTCATTGCACACCAACTGAAATATTTCAGGTCTTTAATTGTTTTAATACTGATGATTATGTCATACAGCTCATGAAAACCCAAAATGCCTGTCCCAAAAAATGAGCATATCATGAAAAGGTTCTCTAAACAAGCTATTAACCTAACCATCTGAATCAACGACGTAACTCTAAACACCTGCAAAAGATTCCTGAGGCTTTTAAAAACTCCCAGCCTTGTTCATTACTCAAAACCACAATCATGGGTAAGACTGCCGACCTTGAGACTTCCGGAAGGAGCGGTCGGAGGTAGAGGACGCTGAGTTTGAACGGACGGTTAACTGGAATTTTGTTAAGTTAATTTAAAGGTGGTTCTTGGCATAATCCGGGTTGTGAGTGGATCAGATGGCAAGTACTAGTGGGGGAAATTCGGAGGATGAGAATATGGAGACAGGATGGTCTATGGTAGAAAATAGGAAGGGGGGAGGAGGAGGTAAGGCAAAAAAGGGAGTAAATACTGGGAAAAGGTCTCTTGAGGATGAGGAAGAAACGGTTGAAATAAGGAAGAAAGTAATGGTGGAAGAGTTTAAAATTATACTGAAATTTAAAACTGGGCAGGATATGTTTGGAGTGAGCCCTATTAATTTGTCAAATGGACTTAAGAGAACTATTGGAGAAGTAGAGTTAGCTAAAGTGTTAAGAGATGGAAGTCTACTAATCATTTGTAAAAATACTGAACAAAAGAATAAAGCTCTTAAACTACAATTGGTGTGTAAAAAGGAAGTGATGGAGAGAAAGGTTGTTGGGGAGGAGAAGAGTAAAAGGAGTAATATCAGGGATTCCTGTAGGAGAAAATTTGGAGGAGCTGAAGAAAATAATTAAAGGAGGAGAAGTCATAGACATCAAACGGCTACAGGCCTTTAGGAATGGAGAGAAAATGGACAGTGCATCTATCCTACTGGTCTTCAGAGATAGAGTTTTGCCTGAAAAAGTGATGATTGGATACATGAGCTTTAATGTAAGGCAGTATATTCCTCCGCCACTCAGATGCTATAAATGTCAGAGATATGGACATATTGCAAGTGTTTGTAAAGGGAAACAGAGGTGTGGCAGATGTGGTGGCGAACATCCTTATGGTGAGTGTGGAAATAATCCTGTTAAATGTTGCAACTGTGGAGGAAATCATACTGCAGCATATGCAGGATGCAATGTAAGAAAAGAGGCAGCTGAAATTCAAAAAGTAAAAACAGAAAAGAGGATTACTTATGCTGACGCAGTGAAACAGGTGAAAAACAATGATAATGCTTCGAATACAAGTTATGAAAAAAAGGCAGTAGCAGATAATAATCAGAATAATGTTACGTTAGAAAAATTGATCCCTTTTCTTGCATATATCATAAATTGCTCAGAACAAGCAAAGAATAAAACTGAAAAAATTAAAATTATAGTGAAAGCAGCTATAAAATTCTTCAAGGTAAAAGATTTATCTTGGGAAAAAATTCATGATGAGCTGAGGCAGGGTGAAGGATCGTCTGAATTTGAGGCATCTCAAACCATCACATAATTCTAATATTACAATGGAACGCTCGCAGTCTAATAGCAAATGGTCAGGAATTTAAAGGCTTCATTAATAATTTAAATCCAAAACCTGATATAATGTGCATTCAAGAAACATGGCTCAAGCCATCATTACAGTTTAGTATTCATGGATACTCATTTTTACGTAAAGACAGGTTAAATGGGAATGGAGGAGGTTGTGGTATATTCGTAAAAGATAATATAAAATGTATTCAAATACAAGTAGAATCAGAATTAGAACTTACTGCTGTTGAAATTTGGACAAACGAGGGGAACACTAAAATAATAAATTTCTATAATCCTTGTAAACAATTAGAAAAATTAAAGCTAAACACAATCTTACAAAACTGGAGAGGGAAAATAGTTTGGTGTGGGGATTTTAATGCACATAGCACTTTATGGGGAGATCAAGATGATTATAATGGAGGAATTGTAGAAGAATTGATTGAAGAAGAAGAATTGGTTGTGTTAAATAATGGAGTGGGCACTAGGGTGGACTTTGTAAGGGGTAAAGAATCTGCTATAGATCTGACCTTGGTATCTCAATCCATTGCTAGTTTATGCAGATGGACAGTATTTAAGGAAAACACAATGGGGAGTGATCATTATCCAATTTTTGTGAATATAGGTATAAATACTAAGCAGGACCAGGAAAAAGTTGAAGGGAGGTGGAAATTTGGGACAGCAGATTGGAGTAAATTTGAAATGATGAATGAGGTTAGTATGGAAAATGTAGATATAAATAAACCAGTAAATGAGTTAAATTTAGAAATTAGCAAATGTATAATTAGCTCAGCCAAATTATGTATTCCTAGAAGTAATGGTAATAGAAAAAAGAAGATAGTCCCGTGGTGGACACCAGAATGTTCAATAGCAATTAAACAAAGAAATAAGGCTTTTAAAACATTTAAGAAAATAATTTGTGTCCAAAATCATATAAATTATAAAAGAAAGCAGGCAGAAGTCAGGAGAACAATAAGAAATGCTAAAAGAGAATACTGGAGGAGATATTGTGAATCCTTGGGGAAAAACACAGCATTAGACAGGGTTTGGAATTCTATTAGGAAAATGTCTGGGAACTCAAAAGAGGTTTTCTTCCCATTAATTAAATATGACGGAAATATTATAATAGATAATAAAAATAAGGCTGAGGTATTAGTAAAAACATTTGCAAAGGTACATAGTACAGAAAATCTAAATGCTAAAGAAAAATTAGGACGTGAAAATACTCTACAGGGAAATATTGATTTGATAGATAGTGATGAAGAATATGATGATTTTATCAATATGAAGTTTTCTTTGTTTGAATTGAATAGAGTACTGAAGAATTCTAATAAATCAACTCCTGGTAGTGATCAAATTA